TGTGCATGTTAAGCAATGTGGATGGTGAATTTGGTTGAAGAGATTACAACGAAGAGTCATGGAGCAATTAGCATGAAGATCAACAGCATGTCTGCTATTAATCTAGCAAAGAATCTGATAGCACATGGACGAAGCAAACACATCAAAATGAGGTTCCATTATCTTCAAGAGCATGTAGTATAAGGGAAGATAAACTTGGGACACTGCAGAACTAAAAATCCGATTGCAAATATCATGACGAAAGGAGTGCAGGTCGAAATGTTCAAAAGACTAAGAGCTATTATGAACATAGATAACTTAGACACAATGAATTAGGTGGTGTGTTGAGAATGTAATTCCTTGTGCCGAAGTAGTTAGTGTTCGACAAAAACAATGATATTTTAAACTTGTAGTGTGTGTCGAGTAACATTAGATGTTGAAGTGTCGAAGCAGATTGCTTGACACAAGATTTCGACTTAGACCAAAATAGAAATTTTGGGCTTTTGTGTTTTTAGGCTTTAGCTTAGAGAGCAAGTTAGCTCAATTATAAATAGAGGGAGTATCCCTTATTTTTGTAAGAAGTAGAATAATCTTGTAATCACTTGCAGTTTTAAAATTAACAAGTTTTCTACAGTTTGTGGGTAGAGACTTTGAAGAAATCATTTTCTTTTTTCTCAATTTTCGTCAAACCCTAATCTTCTTTTTTATTTAATTTTTATCTCTTCTTCCATTAACAATTGCTGCGCAAAATCATTCTTGCAATTAAGGAGTGATTGACTCACTCAAGTGAAAAGTGAAGAATAAGATATTTTAATCGGTTGATTCAATCTTGTTCATCAAGATTGATTTAAAATTATTCAAAATTATGAATTAATTCAAACATTAACAAGACGTTCAATAACATTCACTATTTTTTTAATTTAAATTTTTATATGTTAGATTGCACTATTTTTTAGTTTAATTTATTTAAATTTAAACACAATTAAAAATAAAGTATTTAATTAAATTAATTTTAGTACTAAAAACTCATTCTTCCGAAATACGTGAGGTTTATCTTAACTAGGACGTGTCTTTATAATAAGTACACAATTAACTCTAATATAAAACCGTATTAAAAGTTAAAGTCATTTAGAAGTGGATTATTAATATTAGGGTTGTATCTTTATAACAAGCACACAATTAACCATAATGAAGTCATATTAAAAAGTGGACAATTAATATCAGTGTCCTTTGCCAGTGTACATGGCTAAGAATCCATAGATGTAGCAGCAAGTGGTCTGATCTGAGCACCGTTTAATAACTGCGCAATTACTATCTCATGCTATGCTAGAAACTCCTAATAATACACAAAAGTAATACATTGATTGCAATTTGGTTAATATCACATGATATATTTATTGCTAGCTTCACATATCTAAGAGATGTATATCCATGTCACTTCCATTATAGTCGGCTTTAAAATGGAAATACTAGACTCTATTTAGTATATTTAGTAATATTTTAAAATTCAGACATGATATTGAATCGGAGAAATTATTGAATCACTAGTTTATTAATTGAATCACTTGATCGGCGGTAAATTACATTATTAAATCGGATAAACTAAAATTATTCAATTGAAAAAATATGTTATGTTAACAAAATTATATTAATATTGAATTAATCGAACCAAATATCTATAAAAATCACTAACCTCTAAAATTTTCTAAAATACCACAATTTCTTAACTTAATTATTCAAATTCAAGTTTGAGTTAATTATAAATTTAAGTCAACTATGAGATTTACTAAAAAATTAGTGATTGATTGATAAATTAATTAATAATTTATAATTTATAATTTATAAATGATAATTTATAGTTGATAGTCTATGGTTGATAATTGATAAGTTAATTGAATTTAATAAAATTAAATATTCAACTAGTTTATAAATACAAAATAATATAAAAAAGTATTTCTTAATTAATAATATAAAAATATATTAAAATACTTAAATTATAAAGGATAAAAATAATTTTTAATTAAAATAATAAAAATAAAAATATAAGTAAAAATTAATAAATTATAAGAACTTTGGGTTAATGGTTGGGTAATGTGTTATATAATTAAAAAAATAAGGACATGACATAGTTTTATGAAAAGAAATAAAAATTATGAGATTTTTTTATATATATCGATTGTTGTCATCTCATACTCAAAAAGAAAAACTTTGGGTAATGCTTGGATAATGTGTTATATAATTAAAACAAAACAAAAATATAGGTAGTTTTATTAACTTTGTATGGATATGGTATGGACAAAGTTTATGATAAAATTTTAATTAACTTAATTTTTAAATAGTTACTAAAAAGTAATACTAGCAATTAGAATGAGTTAATGTTTTTGCATAAAGATTGATGTAATTATCTAAAATGTTGGACATATATACACAAATTATTATACATAATAAATATGAAGGGAAAAAAACTACCAACTCACTCTTTTAAGTTTTAACACATACTTTCAAACATATTTTCTTTCATTATTTAAAATTTATGAGTCTTGTCAAACTTAAATGAAACATACATGATTTAGTAGAGCCGTGTGAATTTTAACCAACCATAGAGATTATCGTAGAAAAATGTTTTAAAAAGCATGTTGATATTTTTTCTCATATTTTTATGTGTATAGTTTGAATATAATAAATGAATATTAAAATTACTAAATGGAAGCTTTTATCAATTAATAAAGTAAAAAATTACTTAAATAACTTAATAATTTTTATATATAAAAATTTGATGAGAGACTTATTAAAAAAAATAATTTGAGAAAACATAATATGGGAAAGAAAAGATAATATGTATGCACCCTTCTATTCGGTTAGGTTTTGATACCACACTGTCCGGGAGCCTTACGTGCCATGAAACCCAGCCTTAACTGTATCGTCCTCAAATAGTCAACCATAGACATAACACGGACTAATAATTAAAACTGAAATTCATAACAGCAAGGACCATAGTATGGATCAATGGTCAGATGTTTTCTGATACACAAGATCCTCATTTAGAGGCAGGTGTAGAGCATACTTGCATCTATGGGAGAATTATGATATGAATACAATAACTAAAGCTTTGAGGGAGAAAGAAGAGATTTTTAGAACATGTTTGTTCTTAAACACACAAGAGAGTTTATTTGTGAATGCTAGATGAAAATATGTTACAAGAGCCCTCCTTTTATAGCCAAGGAGGTACATATAGAACAAAAGCAACACTATTTACAAGCATGACATTTATAATATTAATGCCTTTTTTAAAAGTCCAACACACTTATCTCTAATGGATTACATTATTGTAGTCTTATTGCACAAAAAGACAAAAATTTACTATTCATAAGCATGTTTGTGATCTTTGAAGGACACTTGTCCATATAGTCTTTGCAAATGGGTTCATGAGAGGGAGACATATTTTGATCAGATAAATTTTCATCAGGAAAGCAATCTTCATAGCGAGATGACTCACGCTGCCATTTATCATCCATCATGTAGGTGTGATCTGCTAATCTCATATTAGCTTCTTCCACTTGTCCTTTAGAGAATTCAGCTTCCATTGGAGAATCTGGTTTCTGTTGTGTGGCTTGAGTCGAGCTTTCTCCAACTTCCGGTCTTATGAACTTTTCATGATGTATGCAAGTTGAACTTTCATCAAGTTTCTTTGGATCATAGAGATTGATGTAGTTAACATGTCCCAGTAATTCCCTTCTGACTTTTAGACTGGGAGGATATTCATCAATGGTTTCCCATAGGTGAACATAACTCTTATAATTGAGCAGCTTAGTTACAGGATCTGCCAGATAGGGCCTGTGTAGAAAGAAAACAGACTTGAGTTTTCCAATATCTTCTTAAGGTAATCTTCATTCTCTGACCTCGTCTATGACTGGTTTAAATTGATCTCTCCACCATTGTAATGGAAAATACCATTCAAGAGTGGTCCAAATCAAAGACTTGTGCTTCTTGGGATCCATTATATGCTGATACATGGCCTCAGTGGGAATAAGAACAGACATGTTGTACAAACAAGTGGCACACCAAATATACCACAAATGGTTTTTTGTGAATTTAGCATTTGGGTTTATTAAAATTGGCAGGAGAAAAGGTGTATCTGGGAAATAAGGACTATGATCCGGTAATTTGTTCCTTATGATTTTTTTTCAAGTAATTGAAAAGATTGTTCCTGACATATTGCTTGAGTTGGAACGGTGAAGAGGATGTCGTTATTCCTGGAGGAAGATTCTTTGTTTTATATGCATGGTTTGGTAGTGGTTTGACCATAAGAATTAGAGGGAAAGTGTGTTTGGCCGTGATGATCTGGATGGGTTTCATGGGTCTGAGTAGTAGGTCTTGGATTACATTTTGGGTTCCCTTGATATGTTTTACCGAGAAATCATATCTGGAAAACCAATCTTTGAGCCTAAGAGTTTGAGGATCGGGAGGCATCTTATTTTTGAATTCAAGGATCTTAGGGAAAGAGGAGTTGTCCATTTAGACGTCAAATTGGTAGCCTCTTAGGTGGAAGTCAAACTTTTGGATCCCCATCTTTACAGCGAGGGCTTCTTTGTAGGTGGTGTGGTAGTGTTTTTTAGCTTCTTTAAATTGGTCATTGGCATGGCCACAATAGTATCTTTTTCCTTCAATTTCTTCTATCATGACTGCTCCCCAATAATGATCACTGGCATCGGTCTGTAGAATTCTTTTTCCATTCCCAAGGATTTTTAGAGCAGGAGGAGTTTGTGCAATTTTCTTTAAGGCTTTCACTGCTTCGGTTTGTTGTGTTCCCCATGGTGGAGGTTTTTTATTTAGCATTTGGGATAAAGGACTCGTGTATCTCACCAGTTTCGGCAGGAAATCTTGGATATAATTAATTATACCAAGAAATTGTTGGATTTGCTTAACTGAGAGATTTCATCAAGAAAGTTTAATAGTTCTTGGACAATATGAGGCTGAGGTTGATATTTCCCTTGGGAGAAATGCATCCCTAGGAAATTAATTTATGTTTGTCCCAATTGACTTTTCTTTTCAGAGAGCATCATTCCATGCTGATGGGCTATTTGAAGAAATTGGCCCAATAATTGTTTATGGGTTTTTTCATCTTTTGAGAACAATAACACATCATCAATATAGATGAGGATACTGTTGAGGATGGGCTCAAAAATTCTAGTCATGGCTTTTTGAAAGAGTGATGGGGCTACCTTAAGCCCAAATGGTAACACGGTCCATTGGTACTGGGCGTTAGGAATGCAGAACGCCGTTTTATAGCGATCTTCAGGGTCGATACCCAATTGCCAAAATCCTGACTTAAGGTCGAACTTAGAATAGATTTGGGCATCTTTGATGAAAACATTTAAGGACGAGGCTTTTGTAATGGGAAATTTATCATCTTTGAGAAAATGATTTAGAGGTTTGTAATCAATTGCTAGCCTCTTTTTTCCCTTCAACTTTTCAGATCTCTTTTCCACATAGAATGCTTGGCAAGCCCATTCTGATTTGGTGGGTTCTATCAGACCTTTTTTGAGCAGTTGGTTAGATTCTTCCCTAGCTAATGCGTAATCTAATGGACTCATCCCTGGATGAGTGGCCTTGGTTGGATTAACATCTTCATTGAGCTTGAAGGGAATTTGAACGAAGAAGTCTTTATTCTTCCATAGAGGTTTTGGGTGGCGGAATTTTTCATGGCTATCTGCACATAGACTGAGAAGGTTGGACTTGATCTCTTCATAGCCAGCAGGAACCTTAGAAAGTGAATATAGTTTTAGTATCCCAGAATAAAGCTTGAATTCTCTTTTGAATTTGATTTCTGTGGGGAGAATTTTGAGTTTAATTGCTGCTGAATAGACATCCATTCCTACTACAATATCTTTGTTTGGGAGATTACTGCCAATGACCTTGGTCCAGACTATGCAGTCTGGGAAGAATTTAATTCCTATTTTCTCCTTGGTCATTAGATTTGTCTTGAAAACTTTTCCATTCGCTGCTACAAAGTATGCAGCATGTGTCACCCATGATTCTGCAGAGAGAATGTTGGGATTCACCATGGTAATCTGGGCCCCAGTGTCCATATAAGCTATAACTTTCTTTGGATGGGAAAAATTTGTTGCGAGAACATGGACTTCAATACAAGGAAGTGGTGTAGTAGGAAGAGAATTGCCTATCTCTTTGATGGAGTAAACCGGGAGATATCTTTCATCTTCTGACTCCGAAAATGATGCTTCATCAAATGAAGAGTCTTGAAGGGAAAAAATTGTTTCTTCATCAGCAGAGCTTTGTTCAGAATACAAATATTCTAAGTCTCCTTCTAGAGGTTGAAGAGAGTTAATTAATTTTGCAGCTTTATGGGTGTTATTAGGACATTCTTTTGAGAAATGCCCTTTTTCCCACAAATAAAGCATCTCTGATTTTCCCCTTTCCTCTGAAAGGTTTTCTTCTAAAGAACTTCATATTCTTTCTTTTCTTTCCCTTGAAGGTCCTGTGAGATTTGGTGTATTTGTTATATTTCTTTTTTGTTGGACAACTACACCTTTTGTCTTTACACTTAATCTCCAGGTAGGGTTTCTTACATGCTTGGGTGAACTTTGACTTTTGTTTTATAACTTCAGAAAATTGATGATGAAAACTGCAAAGCTTTTCAAGTGCTTCTAAGGTCACTTGGTGAATCTGGATGAGACTCATAGTTTTAATATCCTTTTGAGTTGTGGCTAACATTCTATGAATTTCTGGCTAATGTTCTTGTGGTAGAGAGGATACATAGGTATTCTTGAGACTTGGGACATTGTACCCATTAAGGACATAATACCTTTGTGTCATCCTATGATAGTGTTTGTCGAGGTATTTTGTTTTGAGAGAACAACACTTCATCTCAAATAATTCTTGTCTGTTTTTCCTATCAAATATTTCCATATCACCGATAAATTCTCGATGAAGAACCCCAAGAACACTAGTTGTAGTTTCTAGATGGTGTAACTCATCTTGTTTGAAAGCTCCAAGATTATCATACCATTCTTTCATCGTGCCCGTCATTCTACAGCAAAATTCTTCAATGATCTTATAGCTATTTGCACTTGTTTTCATCGTTTGGGTGTCAAGCCAAGCTCCAAATTCAATTAGTTTTTTTCTCCAACGGCTAGGTGGTATATCATCAAAAGTGAACCAAGTACCTCCATTTGGTTTAGTCCTTTCAGGGATAAGAGTTTCTTCAGGTGATTCCTCTTCAAAAAAGGATTCTTCCTCTTTTACATTCGCCATGAAGAGTCCTGGGAAATAGTTTTCTTCAGACTCTGATTTAGTTGAAAAAGATCTTGGTGTCTCATCAGAAGATGATTCTAGATTAGAGTTGTTGTCACCATCTGAGAAGGACTCGTCTCCCTTTTGTTTTGATGATTCAGAGTGATCTTTCCAAGGAGATTCATGATTTATAGTGATTGCCATGGCTTGGAAACCTTTATTAGGAATTTCTTCTTCCTTTTGGATTTTTGAAGGGGGTGTTTTAGGGATATCTTAAGAGTCTGAGGATGAAGCGCTTAAGCAGACATCTTTCCCCTTTGTATTGGAGGTTGAGGTAGTGGTAGTTCTAGAAGATTTTGGTCTGTAAGTTGTTGGTATGTATTTAAATGGGTCTGATGGTGATGAAGCATAGGCGGGGTAGAAAGGAGAAGGCCTTTTTAGTCGTTTGAAATATGTAGGAAAAGTAGGAGGGTCTAAGAAAGAGTTTTCAACCAGTTCGGGCTTTCTTTCATGATAGGCTCTTAAGAAATCATCTGTCTCTTTTACTTGGCTTTGTAGATTTCTGATTTCTCTTTCCTTTTGGTCAAATGTTTTACCAAAAGCTCTTTCTTCTAACATCTGTCGCAAATCCCGATCTAGCTGGGATACTTGGGCTTTCAAGCTTCTGTAATTTTCTGCCTTTTTTGGGATAAAACCTTGAGATCTTCATTTGTCTCGTCTATTTTTCAGCAATCTTATCTACCTTTTGGTCAAGGTTTTGAAGAATTTCATTTCGAGAAACCATTTTTTCAGATTGCCAATTCAGAACTTCCTCAACCTGAGTTAACGGTTTAAGCTTCCCATCGGGCTGGACTTCACTCGGATAAATGAAGGGTTTGGATGTTCTGCCTGTGATTGGATCCTGTTAGAACACAGATTGGTTCTTAATATATCTCAATGTTTTGATGATAACAATAATGAAAGTTTGTATGGAGAAAATAAATACTCTAATTTTGTTCAAGTATTTTTGTTTCAGATAACACAAGAAATATTCCTCTGAACGCAAAATATTCCTCTGATGGAATATTCTTCTGAACGTTAAGCTACAGAAGACTCTGAGCGAAGCTACAGAAGACTCTGAGTGAAGCTACAGAAGACTCTGAGCATTTGACAAAAAAGCGAAGCAGGCTCTGAGCGTAGAAGTATAAAGCAAAGATTCAGAAGACTCTGAGATTCAAAACAAGCAAGGCTCTGAGAATCATAACAAACAAGACTCTGAAACGTTAGCAACAAAAGTAATACATTTGGATAACATGCAAGAGAGAAGATCTGCTCCGATCTGAAGCGCTCCTCTGGAAGAACAGTTTGTTAACACGCTAGCACTAAGCTGCAAAACTATGGAAGAGAGTTGCTCTGACAAGAAGAAAATGGAACATCATCAGAAGATCTAATACAAAAGACATTTCCATATTCGTTCATTTGAAAAGATGCTGGTCAAGAAAGATACGTTGGCAAATCCATTTGTTACTTCCAACTGTATTATTCCTCTTTTGTGTATGGCACAAGAATTCAGAACAAAAGGATATCTCTGAACATTCCTCTCTTGGAAAAAAGACAAATCTACACGCCATTTGAAAAATGGATATGAAGTATTTAAACAAGTCTTAAACAGTAATTCAATGTTACATCATCTTTAAGAATTATAGAAATTCAACCAGGCTGAAAAAGAGACTTTGAGCATTATTCTACAACGCACATACAACCAAGCTGAAAAGAAAATAGAAAATTCATTGTTCTTCATTTTGTGTAAAATCACTGTTGTGATATAGCTTTTCTTAGAAGCACATAAAACACATTTTATTGTATTACTTTTGTAATAGATCATTGAGAGACCAAGTTGTGGTCATAATTCTTGAGAAGACTAAGACAGTTTGTCTTAGTGAAAAGATTGTAATCAAGTTTTGATTATTGGATTAAGTCCTCGTTTGAGAGAGGCGAAATCGCCTTGGCCGGGTGGACTGGAGTAGTTTGAGTTCAAACGAACCAGTATAAAAATACCTTGTGTTTTTATTGCCTTATTTGTTGTTTGAAAACCCTTATTCAACCCCCCCCCCCCCTTCTCAGTGGTTTCCTTACCTTCAGTTAGCATCAGAGCACGGTTCTGAATGCTATCACTTAACAGTGTCAGAAAAGATCCAGTTGGAAAACTCTTTGATTTAATATGGCTGAATCTTCAAACAACGATGGGTTTAACAACAAATATGAAGAGAAAGACAGAATCAGCACAAAGCCTCCTATGTTTGATGGATAAAAATTTGACTACTGGAAGGATAGAATAGAAAGCTTCTTTCTTGACTATGATGTTGATCTCTGGGATATAGTCATTGATGGATACACTCACCCGACTAATGATGAAGGTAAAAAGATTGATAGAAAATCAATGACTGATCAACAGAAGAAAGACTTCAGAAATCACCACAAGGCAAGGACAATTCTGTTGAATTCTATATCTCATACTGAATATGAGAAAATCAATAATAGAGATACAATGCATGATATGTTTGAGTCCTTGAAGATGACACATGAGGGAAACACCCAGGTGAAAGAAACAAAGACTCTAGCGTTGATTCAAAAGTATGAACCTTCAAGATGGGGGAAGATGAATATGTGGAAACCATGTTTTCTAGATTCCAGATTCTGACTGCTGGATTGAAGGTTCTTGACAAAGGCTACTCCACTTCTGATCATGTAAAGAAAATAGTCAAAAGTTTACCAAAGAGGTGGAGACCTATGGTCATGGCGTTAAAGCTCTCAAAAGATATGAACAAAATCACTCTGGAGGAACTCATCAACTCTTTAAGAAGCCATGAGATTGAGCTTGAAGAAGATGAGCCTCAGGAGAAAGGTAAGTCCATAGCTTTAAAATCTAACAAAAAATCTGAATCTAAAGTTTTTCAGGTACTAGAAGAAAGCTCTAGCTCTGGAGATTCTTCATCAGATGAAGACGAACTATCTTTATTATCTAGAAGAATAAATCAACTTTGGAAGCACAAGCAAAAGAAGTTCAAAAAATTTAAAAGACCAGAATATCGTGGAGAATCCTCTTGTCACAAAAGATCTAGCAAAAAGGAAGTAGTGTGCTATGAATGCAAAGAGCCAGGACACTACAAGAATGAATGTCCCAAACTTCAGAAGGATAAACCCAAGAAGAAGTTTGAGAAGAAAAAGAAATTCCTGATGGCTACTTGGGATGACTCAGATTCTTCTGAAGCCTCGTCACAGTCTGAAGACGAATATGCAAATGTTGCACTAATGGCTGACATAGAGGAGCATGAAGAATCATTTGAATCTGGGTCAGAATCATATTCAGAAGATATGTCCTTAGCAGCAAAGTTGAGACACCAGTCCTGGTATCTGGAATCTGGATGATCACGACACATGACGGGAAGAAGGTCTATGTTCCAAAGTCTGGAACTTAAATATGGTGGAGACGTGAAGTTTGGAGGAAACCAAAAGGGCAAGATCATTGGCTCTGGAACAGTTGGTAATGGTAACCTCCCTTCTATCTCAAATGCTCTTCTTGTAGAAGGATTAACTCATAACTTATTGTCTATAAGTCAATTAAGTGACAATGGTTATGATATTATCTTTAATAAAAAATATTGCAAAGCTGTTAGTCAGAAAGATGGATCAATCCTCTTTAATGGTAAAAGAAAGAACAACATTTATAAAATAAAACTTTCAGAATTGAAAAGTCAGAATGTTAAATGTCTTATGTCTGTTAATGATGAGCAATGGGTCTGGTATAGAAGATTGGGACATGTTAGCATGAGACGTATATCTCAGATTAACAAGCTCAATCTGGTTAGAGGACTTCCTAAGTTGAAGTTCAACTCAAATGCTCTTTGTGAAGCATGTCAGAAAGGCAAATTTTCAAAATCCACTTTCAAACCAAAGAATGTTGTTTCTACTTCTAGACCATTAGAGTTTCTGCATATTGATCTGTTTGGACCAGTGAAAACTGCATCCATCAGAGGCAAGAAGTATGGGTTTGTCATTGGTGATGACTACAGCAGATGGACATAGGTAAAATTCATAAAGCACAAGGATGAGTCTCACTCTGTATTTTTTGATTTCTGCAATCAAGTTCAAAATGAAAAGAAATTTAATATTGTCAAAGTCAGAAGTG